GATTATCGAATCGTTGAAGCACAGTAAGGTTTTCGACTTTTCTTGAGGCTGCTTTTATTGCAGAGAGTGCTCGACGTTCGTCTCAAATATACTTGCTGAGGAAGTCACTGTTTTGAGTGAATGTATTTCCGCATATAAGAAGCTAAATACACTGATTCATTTGCTGTTATGATACATTATAGCTCATGCATAATCAAATCGTTGTTCCAAGCAATTTTTTTTTGTTTTTAACTCGGATCAATATTGATGTCAAGCGGAAACAAATTATCATAAAAGTTCTGAGAATGTGAATTACATATGCATGGAACGTTCATCAAGAATGAAGTGTTCTAATAATAAGAGTTGACACTTCCTCAATAATAAGTTACTAAGTTATTCATTAGAAATGCCTCTCAAATGTAGCATGTTTACTCGTACTGCTGACAATCGCAGCAAAAGACTTGTTAGTGCATGTGACAGCACATTGAATTTGAGAAATTGACGTTCCATTTTATCATGATGCAAGAAGATTTGCCTCGGTGATTTTCGATTACCTATGCAAGTCATCAATCTTCAGATCAGATGATCCTATGCTGGAGGCTTTGGGACAGCCAACCTATCATATTTTGCCGGATAAAGCCTCATTGCTCGAACGAACTGCTTCAATTTATAGGAACAGGTGAGCAGATTTGAGTTTCACTAAACTGACTTCTAGAATTGAAGTTCAGAATTCACGAAGGGGCTGATTTATAGACGCGGCTGCGAGTCTTTAAGCTAAAAAAAGCTCGAAAACTAATCCATTCATGCTAATTGACGAAAACTTGAACAGGCGACGAACTGTGGACGTTTTTGGTGACGATGAACACATTGGTATGGGTGGACGAGCGCCCAGTCGAGTCTCACTGAAAGCCAAAGTATCGAAAGTGGTCGAGTATTGGGGAGCCGAAACACCGTTCGCGAATTTTTCGAAGCTCTCAACACAATACGAAATTGACGAGGTATTCTCCGTGTAATTTACGGGAAATTTCTTTGAAACGTTCATCCAAATCAGCTCTGAACTCATCCTAATGTACAAAAAGATTCCATCGTGATCTATGAGTAGATCGAAATGTCAGAAAATGCTAGAAAACTCACGTATTCAGCAGCTGAGCTTTCGAGTTTTCGGAGAAAACTCAATTATACACGATACTTTACTCTTGAATACGGACATCTCACCAAGGAAACCTCACAAGCCTTATCCAAAAATCCATGAGATCATCAGTTAATCATTAATTTCGGTAAGAAATTCTCAACTGCGCCGTTATATTTGCAGCAAAATGGAACTGCCCGGAGACCGCATTACGGGAATACAATTCGAAGTATGACGTTGATCGAGAATAATCTCGCAAACTTCTCCATGAGCAAGTTTGTCCCATTTTCATATTGTTCATCGTGCAGAATTAGTGTGAGCTAATAATTTCTGTTCGATCGATTATCACCTTATCATGATCTCAGCAATTACTGAGATCAACGATGTACACGATACCATCGCTTTATCGAACACATTCCTGTTTTACGTGGATTATTGTTTCTTGTTTATTCATCTTTTCGTTTCAGCTGCTTGTTTTTCTTTTTCAAAAATTTCTTCCGATATGTCAGCCTTCCAAAGTTAAACTTCTGACGAATATAACCTATTTTAATTCCACAACACTAGTTAGATATTCAAAAGTTGTCTCGCTTGAAGCAAAAAGGCGATTCTTTTGCAGTTTGAATATGCTGTTCAAATGTACAAATCCAACAGCAGTCGCCTCGCCGTATTTGTTATGGCCATTCAGGTATTCTTTAGAAATCTCTCTTATTCAGTCGATTTTTGAACAGTCCGAAAAATCAACACGATCAACGCTATATCCATAATCAGAGAGCAGCGACAATGCATAATCATTAGTTATTGATAGGTGATAGATCAAACAATCGAACAGGATAGAACCTCAGAATGGTTAAATAACCAAAACTCACCAGAATAAATTGATGGAATGCAACAGTTAAATAACCAAAACTTTCCCGTATAAAAGGTCTTTTTGAAGTGTTCAAATCTCA